CCCTGAAATAGATAAACCTGTCAAGGGAAGTGGGCCTGCAGCCTTAAACCAGCTGGATTCCTTGCTTCTTTGAGTTGGCAGAGTTCCTTGCTGTTCTGTTGTTAGAACTCCACACCAGAGAACATATGTCCTGTTAAGTGATCAGTAATAGGAATAAGAGCAAGATTCTTGAGATGAGAGTAGCAGGATCAGTGGGGACCTGGCCTGGGGTCTGAGAAATGGTCACCCTGGGGCAAGGGTGACCAGTGCACAACATCTGTACTTCCCAACTGAGCTGGCAATAGCAGCAGTTACTTGTAGCTTAAAGCAATTTTCAGTCTCTGAAAATATTTGGTGCCACCCTCTTGTGGAAGGGCCACCTATCATTCTGGATTGTAGCACTATGACAGGAAATGAACTATGTTCTGAATATGACTGGAAAATAAAGGATATTTGAAAGGAAAATTTTCAGTTAAAATTTTTTTTTTTGTGGTGGGGGTTGTTGAGACAGGTCTCACCATGTAGTTTAGGCTGGTTTTGAATTCACTGTGCAGCATCGACTGGGGTCAAACTTGTGGCAATTCTCCTGCCTCAGCCCCTCAAGTACTGGAATTACAGGTGTGCACTACCAGGCCTGGTAAATTTCAGTTCAATTTAAAACAATAAATATTTGCTAGTTTTGGGCCACTTACCTTCAAGAAATGTTCTTTGACAGAGAAGCTTATGATCCCAAACTGACTACAACTACATCACTGGAAACATAAATGATAAAGGTGATTGCCATAGAAGTTAGGGCGGCAAGGAACTTCAAAGATCATTATATAGTCCTTAGTTTTGTGCCTTGAATAAAGTAGTCTCAGTGTAAAAAAAAAACACCCAAAAAATGAAACGATGAATGAATGAATCCAGTTCAGTCTCTTCTGGTACAAATGAAATAACAAAAGGCAAAGGGAACAATAATTAACTAATTGATATATACAGTTAGCCAATGGCTGAACCAGGACAAGAGACCAGAATTTCTCAGCCCTTCTCCATGTTATTCATTCTGTCATACTCTTCTTTGTGCCCTTTCTTTTCCACTGTTGGTTGATCAGCTGTCAATTATATTGACTTCAGTCCTTATAACTTTATCCACAAGACCTTATGCCTACAGTGCCCTTTAGTAGAGTGACTCCATTAAAATGCCCTTGCCCAATTAGTCCATGGCTATTTATTTCTTCTCTGAATTCCCATAGAGCTTACTGGTTGTACCATAAATTTAGGGGTTTAATGAAAAATTATTTTATAATGATTTCATGTATATATCTTGTATCATTAATAAGTTTGTCACATTTTTCCAGTTGGGGGACATTGAAACACTTAGTTCTATACGATATAGGTAAATAAGAAGGGGCATACAACTTAACATCCAAATTAAGATTATTTTTGAGAGTCAAAGACATTCTTGTTGATAATAATGTGATAAGTATAAACTGTGATTGTCTTGGTAGAACTGGAGTGAATGGTCACCCTAACAGTACTGCACTTGTTTAACATGTGTTAAATTAGAATCATACTATTGCTGACTATATTGCTGTCCAGGTGTGGGATATTATTTGCAATTTACTGATTACATTGAGCGGTATTACTTCTAAAGTAATTAGTACTGAAAACTCATGATAAGTTGTGAAATAGTATTTATTGAATTATTATATGTAGGTAGAATTTGTTTAAAAGTTTATAGGAAAATTTCCACAAAGTATTCATTCATTCCATTGTTTTTATTTTTTCTGCATATTTCCATACATTCTCATTATTATAATTATTAACATATTAATTTTACAAATTAATGGGTTTCACTATGACATTTATATACCTTCATAGATCATCCCTTGATCACATCCACCTTCACTTGTGCCCTATCTTGACCCCCCCCTTTTCTCCCTCCCCTGTTATCTTACTCTTAAAGATGGAAGGATAAAGTTAAATACAAAACTTTTGCTGCTCCACTTTAGTCATTCCAATATTGAAAATACAACAGAGAGTGAAAATATTGGCATTGACACTGACTCCTTCATGGTGGTAAAATATGAAATTGATGACTTTTTACGTGAGGTAGGTGAGGAGGGATGCTGCTAAGACCTATGGATAAAGAGGTCCAAATTTGAAGTTTAAAAATAGATTTAACTACTTTATTCAAAAAATATGATGATACACATCATGATTTTTTTCTGTTTCTTTTGTGAGAAATTATGGAACAATTAGTAAAGGGAACAAGTAAATATTTGATATATTTATATATAAGTAATGACTAAAATTTGATAGCATTTGCCTACCATCTCTATCTATCTACCTACCTATCTATCTATCTATCTATCATCAATCTAGAGAGAATGCCTTTGAGTATTTTAATAAAATAAATCCTTGAACTGATTTCTGTTAAGAAATAATCAAATACCTAGGTGTGGTAATGCATTATCTGTAGTCTCAGCCACACTGGAAACTGAGACAGGAGGATAGTTTAGCCCAAGAGTTTGAGGCCAGTTTGGGCAGCATAACAAGATTTTCATCTCATTCACAAGTAAGCAAAGAAAGAAAGAGAGAATCTAATAAGTTTCTTTTGGTAGAATTTTCCTCATATCAAAAGATACATATTTTCTGTTCAGATAAAACACAAAGGTTTGGGCATTCCAGACAGAACATTCCATAGATTCAATTTATTAATGTGGTTAATTGAGAAGTTTAATGATAAAAAATAACATGCAGCAGGATGAATTTTAAACACTTGAACAATGGCAATTAAACCATCTGCTACAGATAGAAATTTTCCATATCGACAGGAACAAAAAAAAAACAGGCAATAGGATACAGCAAGCTAACAAGAGGGTCAATGCAACAAAGGAAGAAGCATTTCTTAGATAAATTGCTTTTGCTGTTGAATAGCACATTCTATACTAAATACTTCATTCAATTATAGGCAGATGTTTGTAGCAAAGAGAAAGCTTAGTCTTTATAGCAAAAACTTTTATGAGATTATCTAAATAATCGTACTTTTCCATTCTCATAGTTCCAAATGAAATTAAAGTAGACCAGCAGGGGGAAAAAAAACCCAAAAGCAAAAATAATTACAAAGGCAACAAAATAGCATGTTGCCCTTAGGAAAAATGCTGAGGAAAAGACAATATGTTGACAGATTCTCACCTACCCACATAGGCCTCTAAGATAAGCCCCAACACTATATTATTTTAAGAAATCAAGTTTTAAAAATCTATTTTAAAGACTGCCTTCTCACATGTTGCTATCAGTGGAATATTTGTGTGTATGACTGAAGGTGGAGGATATTCAAATAGCACTTATCCTGTATTGAAATAATAAAGGGAAAATAATAAAACTCTGTAACATTATAATGTGCATTCACAAGGTCAGTATGTCACAAACTTTACCTTGCTAGATTTCTAAGAAAGAATACATATATTTATTTTCATTTTAAAACAAGGCCAGTCTCTGAAACCTCAAAACAAGGAGGTTTATATAAAGTCACATAGCCATTCTTCTCCCACTTTATATTAACCACATATTTGACATTCAAATTCTTTTTATCTTTAATTCAGTAGTATTAAGGTGATAGTTGAAAGAAGAATAATTTTTAAAATATATTTTGAGATACTGGCTAGATGAGTCATTATAGTTTTTATCCTTACCAAATATCAGGAAAAATGTACTTTTTTTAAAAAAAAATGGTTTTATAGATCAATAAATGAAGCTTTAGTCATTTAGATGTGAATTTTTCACTGATATATTTCATCTCTATTGCCCTAAAATAGGAAGATTGCAATCTTAATGATAAAGGCGCAAGTTGTATACCTTCTTTTATAATCTTAACCTAGTTATTAGAATATAAATATAACTTAAGAACGTACTTACTAGAACATAAATATAACCTAAGATTAGATCTATGAGCTCTGTGTCCTTTCTGACAGAGGATCCCTAATGACAGTTCGTAGGAAGGCAAATTTAGCACAAGTAAAACTTGAGGTCTCTGTTCAACGTAGTTATTTTAATTTAATAACAGCATGGATTCACTTTTGACCACATTTTTCTAGATTTCAGACAAATTTTCAATTTATATTTTATTTACTACTTCAAATAATGCCTCATGTTGTTATATATGGTGCTAAAAACATGGCACTTAATTTTTAGAGCATTCTTCTACTTGTTACAAAAATTGATGATTGGCTGAATAGGTTACTTCCATGAATTTATCCATTAATAATTATTATTGAGCTTCAGCTTTGTGCAAGACACTGTGCTACACAGTATGGTGAGCACTAAAATGTATAAGAAGATACACTCCTGCTTGCAAAGTGTTGACCAATTAGCTAATAACTGAATACAAAAAAATGAGAAATTAATCATTGGGCAACTATGTGGTGGAAGAAGAGATTAACGGGGACTCGAATATTCAAAGGTATCTTGAACTAAAGATGGGGTCAGGAGTGGACTTTGGATGTTGATCTAACATGGAAGCAAGAATTAGAAAGGGAATTCTGGTAACACTAGGTCGAAGCCTATTGTTTCAATACGGTGGATAAAGAAGTGATGACTAGTTTGTCAAGAAGCTAGTAAGAATGTGGAACAAATAAAATATAGGGGAGGCGATATCTGCAAGATTATAATTTTATCTTCATCACATCAAAGAGAGAAAACCACTTATTTCTCTGTCCCACTAGCATTTAAGGAACAATTTGTCATGAAATTTAAATGTCTTTAAAATTTTATGTAATTACCATGACAGATTATTGCAGTAGTGTCAAGCATATTTTATGGACTACAGTACTGAGTCTAAGAAGGGTTAATTAAATTGCTAAGAGTTTCACAGTTAGTAAGAATAATAATGTAATAGTAAGGGTAACATGTATTGAGTAATTGCTATTGATGTGGTGTGCACATCGTCACCTTGAAGTGGTAATTGCAGTCACTGAGCTGCTTGATTTGTCTCTCTGTCCTTTCACTTTTCTTAGGCATGGTCACAGGACCAGAAGGAATGTACCCCCCTGCATGCAGAAGCAGTCCACAGTGTGACGCTCCCAGCTCATGGAGGGATTTACTCTTGCACTGGTCGATGCCCAGTTGGTCATGGGGAAGGCCAGTGGGTCACTTACCAGTGCTGTAGACAGCAGAGCTGAGGTTGGGACCCTGTGCTCTGTGAAGGGGAGATCAATAATAATTGCTTCATTGACTATTGTGAGAATTGGAAGAATTAACTTGCAGAGTTCTTGACATCAGTTGTTCAATAAATAATATCTATTTTCATTGCTAAACATCTCCCCATTTGACATAGGCAAATGTTCTTCTGTTTTTAAAATTATCATTTTTGAGGTTTCAGCTAAATTTTTGGGGAATTAAATTTTAATAAATAATTTTGTTTTTCTACTCTTCTTATACCTTTCCCCTTACAAAAGCAAAGTTCCTTTAAAACTTAAATGTTTATGTTGGTTCAAATATGGAATAAGTACTTATAGTCATCTAACAAGAATTTGTCGATCATTATCCTTGAGTTACAAGAAAAGATAATAACACATTTTTCCTGTGCATCTGGAAAGGATTCACATTCTCCCTAATGTATAAAACAAAACTATCAATTTTATGCACCTTCCATTGTTTTTCTTAGTTATTTCTGAGAAGCTGTTGTCTCAGGCAGCTGCCTGAAATTGATCATTATTTCACCCTCCAATCTTTGCTTCACAGGGTAAGAAAATATTTATTGATTCAAATTTTATGAACCAAGCACTACTCTAAAATAATAGTATTCCCAAAATTACAAGTCAATGTCCATACCAGCCTCTACTTCTGTTCTAGCCTGGCATAATGCCTTATTAAGCAGTGCTCACTTGGGTGCTCAGCCAACTTTATATTCCAAGAGTTTGGTCTCAAATGTAGAGAACAGGATTAATAATAACCCTTGGTTTATGAATCACCATTATCATCTTGTCACCCTGATATAATTAATTTATTATTTAAAAATTGAAATAATAATATTGTATTTGCCTTGTGAATGTTCAAATTTAGAACACAATGCCAACTTTTTCCCAAGTAGTTGTGTAAATTTGTACTTCTGCCAGCAATGCATAAGAGATCCAATTACTTCCCATTCTTACAAATGCCTGGTTCTTTCAGACTTTTAAAATTTGTCAATATAATTGGTATAAAATATTCCATTTCTGTCTATCCCCCCAAGGTTGAAGTTTGGAACTTTTCCTAAATACTTGAAATAGAATTGAATAAATAAAATATCAGAACTTGCTCAGCAATATGAAAACTGTAGGTGATATTCTAGGCACTTCTTGGCTAAAGATTTTTTAAAATAAGGAGAAAGAAAACAATTTCAAACTGAGCATTATCAACCTTGAGAGTAGAAATAAAAGTGTACTCCAGGAATTAAGGTCATAAGCTTATCTGCGACTTATAAAAGTACATATCTTCCTGGCTAAAATTGTAGAATAATGGCAAGTCTAAGGGAAAAAAATATAGATTAACCTTTGTTTTTCAAGAATTTTTTTCAATTTTTAATTTTATTTTTCAGATTCTATTTTCAATTTATTTTCAAACTGTTAACCAATTCGATGATATGATAGGAATTCTTTTTTTTTTTTTTTCCTAGACAGGGTCTCACTATGTAGTTGAGACTGACCTGGAACTCACTATGTAGTCTAGGCGTGTCTCGAACTAACAGCAATCCTCCTGCCTCAGCCTCCCGAGTGCTGGGATTACAGGCGTGCACCACCACACCCGGCTTGATAGGAATTATTTTGAATACAAGATCATTTGATTAATATAAATACAGAAAGGTGAAAAATAACATAGGACTAATTGTTTATTGTGGGCTTGAATAGTTTACGTTTCCATTAGGAGATATTCATTTATGAAGCTTTGATCCCGTGTCATTCGTCATTTAGAAAAATATATGTTCATGGGCCGGGGATTTAGCTCAAAGGTTCAGTGGCTTGCCTCGGAAGCACAAGGACCTGAGTTCGATCCCCGGTACCAAAAAAAAAAAAAAAAAAAGAAGAAAAGAAAAATATATGTTCAATATATCACAGTTTTGAAAAGACTTTGTGGTTCTCAAAGTAGTCGTTTTGTATGTATGTTTCCAGCAGCATTAATCCTAAATTATAATATTCATTTCAATGCACATACACATTAAAATGCAACTTTGTAGTAGAGATAATTCACCTAAAAGAAATTCAGCCAAGATTTTGACTTGATTAGTGGGTGCCAGTCTATCACTGCCTTTGATGATGTATTACTCTTCTAATTATGTCTATCTGTTTCAGTAACATTATTCGCTTGACCAACACTAATTGTAACTATAACATTTAACACTTTATGTTTATTTGGGAGATGGAATTTTAAATGGATCCTGTCTGAAAAGACAACAGTTCCTTAACATGAAGAGATCATGATAAAACATTCCTGTCTTTCGTAGGCATAAAATAGATACTATTTAAGTACTACTCCTAAAAAATGAGTCAAGTCATTTTCTCCTATTTTTCATTTTCAATTCACATCCTTTAAATATTTACATCAAAATTTGGATGTACCAAGAATGAAAGAAACATTTCTGCCGAAAAGTTAACTACTAGCTGAGTATGGTGATGTATACCTATAATCCCAGCACTCTCGATGGCTGAGGCAGGAGGATAACAAGTCCGAACCAAGCCTAGAGAGCTTAGTGAATTAGCAAGACCTTGTCTCAGAATAAAAACTAAAAAAGGCTGGAGACGTATATCAGTTTGAAAGCCCTAGATAGAATATCTGTTGCTGAAGAAAAGAATTAACTACTAGCCTTATAAATAGTGATATTATAGATCATGACTAGTTGACCAGACCAGTGAACTAAAATTGTTTCCAGAATCCAATAGTCATTCCTTTTGCCTTACATTTTTCCATGCTGTGAAGTGGAGCTATTGAGTGCTGCATTAAGAAGCAGATTTATGAACTTTACTTTCTGATTGGCAATATAATCTGGTAAGATACTCTATCATCGTCAATACAGAGTTTCTCTCAAGATTGCTACCTATTTGACAGAAAAACCAAAGTGTCTCTCTTTGGCTTACTTTTTCTACAGCTTTGTCAAGAAATTCTTTGATCAAATTGCAAATATTTGCTGCATGCCTGCCATGTACAAGGTACTTAGCTGGTACTTAGACACAAAGGCTTACATGGAGCAGAAAATCAGACTGCTTGATGAGATGGGAGAAATAAGAATGGAAAATAGGGAAATAATACATCCCTATTCACGAGTGCACTTCCTGATGGCACTGCTGAAATGCAGGCTTCCTCATTCCTCCCTTCTTTGTATAGGTATAATCCTTATAGATTACCCTTTCTTTGCTCTATTTTTTTTTTTTTTTCTTTTTGGTACCAGGGATTGAACTCCGGGCATTGCGCTTGCAAGGCAGGCCACCGAACCGCTGAGCTAAATCCCCGGCCCACTTTGCTCTATTTTAATTAATCTTGTCTCACCAATAAGATTGTGAACAATTTAAAATGTAAGGGAATTTGGGGAATCTGTGACTAGCAATTTCCAGAAGTGCTGATCACACTATCACATAATTGTTTTCCATAATTACTTTGATAATATCCAAGCATATGTCATCTCAATGGTTTAGTCTACTCGTTCTTTATTATAACCTCCATAGACACAATTCAAGGAAAGATTGATGAAATTCAGTGTATCAGCACCAAGCAGTAGTTCTGGGCTCTTCCATCAGTCAGATGTTTACAGTAAATTGTGCGAAAATTTCTGAATAATTTAGAGCAATAATGAGCATTCTCTCCCTGCGGCAGGGGTATTTTGATATGTTAATTGCAGCATTTTTCTTTTAAAACTAGGTTACATCATTTTTAGTTCTAATGCAAACTTAATGCATTGCCTATTAATATGAAGAGTCAAAAATAATGATCTTGGATTTGTATAATTTTCCCAAAAAATAAACTGAGAACTTTATGTTCTCTGAGGCATGATATCATAAAGTATAATGAAGATAGAACTCCTGGATCTGTATTCTGCCAACTGCCATTATCCAACTTACCACTGAGCTTTCTCTGAAGACCTCAAAAGGTCTTATTATCTTTTTCTTTTCCCCCAATTTAGTGAATATCCCCTCTTACAGCTATAATTCTGTCGTAGGAAACCTTAATCAGTGAATTGTGGAAGAGGAATAAAAAAATGTTTTTAATGACAAAAGTCAACGCTGGATAACAGTAACAGCAAGGAAAATTGTCTCCAAATAGGTTATGGTTTATAATGTAGAGCACAAAGAAATTAGGTACACTTCACACTAATTTTATCTATTTCATTTGCTTTAGTGCCTCCCTCCGCAATCTGACAGCAGCAGCAATTCTACATAGCAGGCAGGACATTAAATAGATTGTCAGTCTTTAAAAGTTGTGAATCAGAAAAACTCTCAGCACACCAGGCCCAAGCTCATGAAAACCACCCTAGCACCAGATGAGTCTATAGACACCTGATGGTAAGCGTTGCCTGTGACAGAGCACTATGCCGTATCATCAGAACTGTGTGAAATAGAAAGCAGTACGGTATTTCTAAGGACTTAAGGAGTTTCTTTTAGGAAGTGTTACAACAAACATTATCAGAGCCTTCTAAACACCATCTTCTTACCATATCCTCCATCTGCTCTCACCTCCAGCATCCCTCTTATTGAGTAAAACCCAGCAAGGCACAGACCCATCAGCCATGCCTCACTCAATGCTCAGTGGTTTCCAAGCTTTCCCTAAAGCTCCTCCCACCCAACACAAGCTATGAAATACTCTTCCTTCATCTTCACTGCAGAGCTCAGAGCCACTTTTGAAGCTGTATTACAATACAAGTGAATCCTACTTTCTCTTTATTGTTTTTTTCTTTTCTTTTCTTTCCTTTTCTTTTTTTCTTTTCTCAGACGGGGTCTCACTATCTCACTATGTAGTTGAGGCTGACCTGGAACTCACTATGTAGCCCAGGATGGTTTTGAACTCACAGCGATCCTCCTGTCTCAGCTTCCCCAGTGCTGGGATTATAGGTGTGCGCCACCACCCCCTGCTTATTGTTTTTTTCCTCAGTGGCCATATACTTTCTTTCCCTGAGTCATCTTTTCAATGATAACCTTT